CGGAGCTTTCTACTTTACTGTGTCTTTCCTCTTTTAGGCGCAAAACTCGGTCCCTTTCGCTTTCACCGGGCTCACGCGCTACCATGAAAATAAAGTTTCGACGTTTCGGAACGCCTTTTTCCCTTGAGCCAAAAATACGTCATGAGTCTCGTGTCTGCAGTATCCTAGCGGAGTATGTATGGGCTGTACATGCAAACAAAAACGACGAAACAAACATATAATTATATAAACACTTCTTCCCCAGTCTGAAGCTCAAGTCGTCCGCTTACAGGTTGTTTAATTGTTGAAGACTAACAAACAAACAATTACTTGAGAGGAGGCAGGTGGACGAAAGGATTGTAGGTGTAAGGAGGGAAACAAAAGAGATTCGGCGGGCACGTCTGCCTCTGTGGTGGTACTCGCCTCGCATATGTTGTTGGTCCTGCTGGTGCAGGTGGTGCTAATGCTGGTGTGGTCGTGGGGTCGTGTTGTTGTTGTGGTGGTGGTGGTGGCAGCGGTATGATGATAATGATGATGATGATGAGGAGGAGGAGGAGGATGCTGCTGGTATCTGCTGGTGGGGGTGGTGGTGGTGGTCGTGGTGGTCATGGTGGTCATGGTGATCACTGTGGTGATTACTGTGGTGATAGTGATAGTGGTTGTAGCGGCCGATACGAAAACCTTTCCTTGCGCCATCAAAATCATTCCAGCGTGCACATACATATATTCATATTCCTGCACATGTCCCAAAATGCTGCTAAGCTGCACAAGGGCAGCAGCGCTAAGGCTTTCATGGTGCCCAATGCGCCAAAGGCCTCATGGCAGCATGCGAGGGTTCGGCCCAGGTGAATCCATCCATATTGACTCACTCCCAGCTGGTTGTCCTGAATGAGAATCATGATGGTCGCTACAGACTTGGTTGGATGTTCCCTGAAAAAGGAGCAGAATCAACGAACAATAGGAGTCACGCAGCGAACTTCGTCCGGGTGCTCAAGCAGCCACACAGGCCTATGGGCCTAGACAACAATCCAGGCCCTTAGCGCTGTTGCTGGTTGTTTGTTGGGCGCGCAGCACTCTCAACCGTTTTGGACGTGATCCAAATAGAGGTAGAACAGGGTAGAACCAAATACCAACAATGCTCTTCTCAGGGTAACATCTCTGTCTTCCAAGGATCACAGTTTCTTTTCAAATTAAGGATCCAGGATGATCCGGGTATCTCAATCTCTAGTCCATCTCTGAGTGTGCCGTCTGCGGTTGGGTCCCACATTGCCCAAGAACTTGCCAGCCCAGGGTGCTGGAAGCATCAAAAGCTGCAGCACCAAGCCGACTCCTGCAGTGGCTGCCGTCCGTGTCCCGGACGCCGGTGGTGTGGGTGTTAAAGCATGGTCAATCACGTATTTTTAAGGGCTTCACAACCTTAAAGAAGCAATGCACCTCAAGAGATAAACCTGCAAAGGGGTTCAGCCTCATGACTGTCCCCCACCCCAAGGTATGTTGATCGCCGTTTCGACTGACAAATCCCTGTGTAGATGTGATACAAACTATCTAAACATATGATGCCCCAGGCAGGCGGAGAAAACATTATATAAGCAAATCCCTGGAAACGCAAAGAGCAGGTAGAAAGCTGATCCCAAACCCGGATTTCTGCGGATCACAAACGCCGAGCCTGGTAGGCTGTCCTCTCTAGTACTGTAGTCTACTCCAGAACCCTGTAAGGGGTGGTTAAAGGACACCCCTTATCCTAAGGAGCTATTTGACACCCCTTAGGGGGCCTAGTTTAGTTCATTCTCTGTGGTCAACCAAGGTTCCTGCAAGAGAACCAGCTCTTGTGGGCCTATGGTTCTACTCGGAAGCGCTCCGATGGCCAAAGTGCGGTTTGGAGCGGTGCTACACGCCTTCTCCAAGGAAGGCTGCAGCTGCCAAGGCACAGCCGAGGAAGGCAGAAGGCAAGAAACTGGTGAGCCTGGAACAGCAAGACCGATTAGGGTGTTCATGTCCTCTCCTCGTTCGGTCAGCAATACATCTAAGAAGTTTGCCCCAAACCAAAACGGACAGCGCACCGTGGGGCCAAACTGTCTGAGGATGTGGGGCGGTTTCTGTGTATGGATCTCGCGAAACTGTACCTGGTAGGGCCTTGACTTGAAATAATACACTGCAAGAGTGTGAGGTATTGACTGCAATATGTTCGGTTTATCGGACAAATATTTGCACATTCATACCAATCATACCACAAAACCATTTTAGTGAAGGTTTCATCCGCTGTTTGTGCATGCGGCCAAGTGGTAAAAACACACAAGGGAAAGGTTCACCCTGCGACTCTCCCCCCAATCCATCATCTCAAAACAACGCCATCTCAAAACATCTCAAGCCCCTACTCCTTCTTCACGCTTTTCATCGCTTGGCTCTTCGCGTTGGGGTCGGGGGTCCCGTTCGCTGCCTTCCAAGGGCTGTGCCGGTGGTGACCAGAAGGAGGCCAAGGCTCAATTGCATCAACAGCCGGTAGCCAGTCCTCGGAGCCGGGAGCCAGTATAGGACCATTTGGTTCCGTTCGTTGTTGGGACAAACAAACGAGGGCAATCCAAGAGGGCAATCCTTTCTCCAAAGGATTGTGGATTGATGGGTGGGTCCCGGAAATAGGTTCTGTGAACGACCTGTCATGTCATGTCATTTCAAAGGCCCTAAACCATTTTCGGCGTTTTGGAGTCCGCTAGCTATCAGCTATACATTCAAGAACCCATGTACATTTCATGTGCACTCCACAAATAGATTCAATAGCCACTCCTGGGGGGTGCTTCTGTTCAGCCCATCCACTATAATAAGTAAGTACTTTCTCACGGTTTTCCACCCATGCTTGGTGGTTTGCAAGCTGCAAAGCGACCACTTGTTTGGCCAGCTAAATCCTGCGTTTTCGTCCCGAATGGCACGTTCTTTCGGGAAGAACGCGTCGCTTAACCGGAATGGCCCTTCGGACCAAACGTGACCGGTCTTCCTCTCTACTCGGCCGGCAATTTCTAACCATCCTGGGATATTGCATGAATACAACCCAGGTGTACTACCTTACTAGGTTTTGAAAAGCTTTAGAGCTTTGGCTCTTGATGGCTCTGGTTCTTGTCTTGGGGGAACATGTATATAGTTGATTGTGTTTTTTTTTGAAGGGGGGCACGCACAAATATACATTTGTGACGCGGCGCCGTCCTTATGCTGTAGCTCCCCCAAAGGAAAAACACCACAAACAAACAAAACACAAAACAAACAAACAAACAAACAAATTAAACAAACAAACAAAACAAACAAACAAACAAACAAACAAAACAAACACACGAACAACCAACCAACCAACCAACCAACCAACCAACCAACCAACCAAACAAACAAACAAACAAACAAACAAACCATTAAACAAACACACAAACCAAAAAACACAAACAAAACACAAACGTAACGGAACAGGCTGTGGTGGCGGTGGCGGTGGTGGTGGTGGTGGTGTGGTGGGGTGGTATGAAACTCAAAAACCATGTGCATGCCCCTAGGGTAGAGTTGGACAAAGCATTTAATTGGTGATGGGTTCTCGACCTTTTTGGATATGATCAAGTGTAGAGCATTTTGGCCGTGGTGTTTGATGCAAAGCTGGGTCAATCCAACCAAACCCACGCTCAAATTGAGAAGTGCACGGATTCGCCACTGACCGTGGTGAATCCGTCGTGACGTCGAAGGGTTGCAGAGCGGCTGACGGGAACGGCGGGCGTCGAAGGGTTGCTTGCCTTGGAGCCACAATCACATATCAAGAATGTGCACCTTTGAATGTGTAGCGGAGCTCCTAGATCCATCGGGCGTAGGAGGTTAGGTTTTCCACGTGTTCACTTGACTTAACGTAGCGATCCCTAGTAGCGTCCTCGTTCCTAGTAGTAAGGCCAGGAGCCCCTAGTAGCGTCCTTGCTCCTAGTAGTAAGGCCATGAGCCCCTAGTAGCGTCCTTGCTCCTAGTAGTAAGGCCATGAGCCCCTAGTAGCATCCTTGCTCCTAGTAGCGATGCCCTTTGCTCCTAGTAGCGTCCTAGGCGGGCTGTCCTTCATGAGAGGCTCTCGGTTCTTTCGCTCGGTCCTGAAGACAACTCCTTCAAGTTCCGGGCGAACATGGTGGAGGATTCACAAGCCCCCGTTTGAGGAGTCTCAAGAGCATTCCCACCACCGAGTTTGAGCAGTCAGATCATGAAGGCATCACCATGGTTGTGGAGAAGTTTGATGTGCAGGACATCTTGACTCAACTCTTGGGCCTTGTGCAAGATGAAGTCCATGGAAGAAGCCACGCTTCTTGCCATGGTATTCCTTCAATGCTTTGCATATTTTGGAACCAATTGTCATCAGTTGTTGGGTCAAGTGAAAAATGTGTGTGAATCTATGATTTCATGTAACGACTGACATGACAAACCTGCAAATTGAGGATGGATCCCAACTCTGGCGCTTCTCAAGCTGCTCAACCAGCCGGTGGCGCGTCTTGAGGCAGTGGCCATACAACGAAAGACAAATTTTAAAACAAACAAAAGCAACCCCAACCGACCACCGCAACGAGACTAAAGCAAGTACAGAAAAGATAATAAAAAAAGAAACATATATAGCAAACCAAAGAACACCACCGCCACCACCACCACCACCACCACGACCACGACCACGACCACGAAGACGAAGACGAAGACGACCACGACCACAACCACCACAACCACAACCACAACAACCACAAGGACAACGACAGCAGCAACACCAGCAGCAGCACCAGCAGCAACAGCAACTAACAAAACAAAAGGGTTCTCCAAGATCCGTGGCTTTCCTGGCCTGCGATCTGAAAGCCGAGCTTCAACTGCCAGGCATCGTGGCCTGAAATCGCTTGAGCCACCTCAGTGACCATCAACCGTTGGTGAAGCCACAGAGGTCCCAAACACAAATCATCTGAACAAGCGACTTTTGTCACTTGGTGAGATTCGCGGGTGAGATTAGAAGCTACTAGTAACAAGAAGCTACTAGGGGCTCCTGGCCTTACTACTAGGAGCGATCGGACGCTATGAACACTAGGTCCTGGATGGTTGATGAGGAACTCACAATCGAGTCCTCAACCCTCCAACATCCCCAAATCGGTCAACCATGTTTCCAACGATCTCACCCCAAGTCAGTGAGTCTTCCGGAAAGTACTGGGATTCTCTTTCCTCATGCCAGTAGTAACAATGTTCCTCCCTGCGTCTTGTAAAGGTCCAAACCTCACCACGACTGACTTACAAGGAATCTTTTAGTGACATGCGGTATACGCATGTTGATGGGATCTATACCCCTAGGCGATCGGAGTCGAATGGAGCTTCACGAGGCACTTCGGTCTCATATAGAGTCCAGATGCCTTCGTCTTGAAAGGAGGTGTTCTCCTTCAAAATGCTCTTCCACGAACGCTAGAATAAGAGACACCCACGGCTTTCGATACATCCACCCATTTCTGTTTATATGCATGGTTGTTGTTCCTTTTTTCGGGAGTGGGTGGGTGTTACATTGCTTGGAAAAATGCAAACAAGAAACGAAGAACATGGCGATCCAACATTGCGCTGGTCGCGGCATCAATCCGACCCCACAAGAGAAATCGATCTGCATCTGTCTGTGTTTCGGCAGCAGAAAGCGAGACAGTAGCAGTGAGCAATATGACTCAATGCACTCACAAATGCACACAAAGATGGTCCCTGAACATGTGGGTTTTGTAGAGGTCCGTCACGGTCACAGAGTTTTGGGTGTCGTTCCTGTTCGTCCCGGAGGTCTCTGGAGTCTGGACTCTGGACCTCTGGAGTCAGCATCCCAAGACGACACTGGACATTGGGACACTCCAAGAGCTATTTGCCTAGGACTTCAGCCCCAATATCTCAGACTACGTAGGCAGCCCCCACCTTTCATGCAACCCTTCTTTGATCAACCCAAAAGGGCACTGAATGCAACGAGTCATCCACGGCACTTCCGACTGTCTTTCCGACTGTCTATGCCGAAGTGCGCCACGCATGGAGAGGGCGGCAATGGCTGAGGACGCGCAAAGCGCCAAAGGCAAGCAGGGGCCGCTTTTCATCCATGGGTAGGGTGCATGGCAAAGCCAAAAACTGGACACCAGCAAGGCAAGGCCTGGTGGGGCTCGCCAGGTAAAAGCTGTTCAAATCAAGCGAAAAGGCAATCCCAAATACGCCTCAAGAAAGTCCAAACAGAATATGAAAACAGAACTCCTCTTGAAAAATGTCCTGGAGAATGAGCCGTTGCTTCCTTCGCTTGGTAGGTGCTTCAGGGTTTGCTGAAGGAAGGAGATTGCACCCATTCCCAAACTCAACGCGACTTGGAGCAACCAACTGAAATGCACATAGCTGATTCATAACCGCAAGACTTAAGAGGCCTAAATTCACAGCAGCCCCCCAAAATCCGCATTACAAACACATCAACTCTAGACTTCTAGACTTCCAACCAACTGCTGGGACGGCAACTTTCGGCATCCCCACATCCAATGGGTCTTCCGACTTGCATCACGGAGGAATTCGGGAACTACGGCACCGGCGCGCCTAGTGGCAGGGGCCGATCCGCCAAAGGATGCCCATGGAGTGCATGCAGCAGCGGCAGCAAGGCCAACTGCACCGAGAGCAGCAACCAAGCCATGACGACGCCTCGCTAAGAAGATCCACCGGAGAAGAATCTTGCAGGTGAGACGAAAATGGAGAATGTTCCAAGTGGGAAAATACGTGAAGTTGTTGGAACCTCTTTAGATATGTGAACACTCTTAATAACACTTCGAGCAGTGGTGGCAACTTGTGTGCAACAACTATATAAGTTTGACTGTTCAAGTGGCTGTCGACCACGTGGGAAGCAAAAAGGGGCTTCACTCGCAATACATGTAGTGATTGGACTAGACCAAGATTTTCAGCAGCTGGATTGTAGCTGATAAGGTGGAGAAACACATGGTCGAATGACACCCAAACCTTAGCCTTCCAAAACAACACAAACGGTTGACCTGTTTTTGGACGTTGTTTGGGTAAGGAACAAACTAAAATCAATGGTGGTTGGAATCCTAGGGCATATATATCTGCATGTTGGATGAAATGATCTGAAAATCCAATCTGTTCTTCTTCACCCCGAAAACTTGGCTTGCGCAAACGGCGCCTGAGAGGGCGACCGAGGCCGGCAGAGTTGCCAAGACCTGAGACGTGACAGCGACGAGGAAGAATGGGTGTTTGGACCACCTGGATGGTCACCTGACTAACTCCAACAATCTCGACTGATGGAATGTCACCTCTGATGAATGTGAATGCTGGTGGTTTAGAGCTCAAGGTCCTTTTGAACCATCTGCACGGACACAGGGCTGACACATTCCCCTACCTCACACTTGTAGTGGCATACAAAACAGAATGAAAGGATCCGAAAGGCAAATCCACTGATGCAGCCAAGAGCTCAGCACTAGTCGTTTTGTTAGCTGGCGGCATGACGGACATCACAAAACACTGCCACAATTGATGTCCACAGTTCGCTCAGAAGACATTGGAGGCCACCTGAAAACCCTCATTGCACCAAAAGGGCCTTATGGCTGGCCATTCAAGGCCAAACATCAGGCTGCAATACTAAACCAACTGACCAAATGATACCAAATGTAGACTCTTGATAACCCCCCAATTGAATTGAACAACCTCTTCATATATGGGGTGGTTTATTAATCAAGAGTATACATGAGGTGGGCCGCGAGACGTCTTAGAAGTGACATGGCTTCGAGTCGTCCCTCAGGCTCTGGCGAGGCTGCGCAAGTCACTCTTCCTCTCTGCCTGAGCACTGTCACCGGAAAGGTGTTGAGGCTCTGGGTGGCACCCATCATGGATGAAGGAAACAAACACCTGGCTGGAGTATGGAGTGTGTTTAATGAGCAAAGTCTGACGTTTCCAGAAGCATGTCTGGTCACACTGCCTCGAGTGGCTTTCATTGCCACATTAAACTAGCATCAATAGCTAGCCTATGACTTCAAGTAGCCTACTACAACCTATGACGTACATCCTATAACCACTCCAGGAGAAGAAAACGACGCGCAGGAAAGCAAAGGGCACCGCGTCCAGCTTCACAACTCAGTGGTAGGGGCTCACACCTTGATTAGGAGGTGAAGGCAATGTGGCTTTTGTTGCTTTTCGCTTCAACCATCTTCAGCCTTTCATGGAGTGAAAATGGGTTTATCCTTCATTGCCCACAGGTGCTCCTTGAGGTCCAAAGGACTTGGCGCTCTTCGCCACGGCACAACCAGGGCATGAGACCCGGCGCGTACTGCCGTACGGCCGATCGGCCCCGGGCCACGGCGACGGATCGGGAGAGCAAGCCACGTGGAGCGTCCCGTTGGCCACGGCAAAGTGGAAGACCGCCGAGGAGAAGGCGAAGAGCGCCAACAGCACCCGAAGGGTCTCCTGTGCGACGTCGCGCGGCTTCGCGGCACCGAGAGCCCAAGCCGAAAGCGACGGCGCCGACGCTGCGGCCACAACATCGACATGTGGGAAGAAGAGGGGTGGCTGAAAGCATTCAAGGTATGTCAAGGTCAAGAGTCCCAAAAGAGGTGGCTGGATTCACAGGCAACGGTCCTGGAAGAGTTGGGAGATAAAACAAATTAAGAGACACACATCTGCTACCGTGATTCTGATAAAATATAAAGTCAAAACCTCGCCCAGGCCCCGCCCTGCATGAAACATCCTTCAGTTACTGAATCTTGCTAGTCTCGAAAAGGGACGAATAGCGCCAACGAAGAACAGCAAGCAAAACAGAAACAGCTAGGCTATACTCCCAGCGGTGTTGATTCTGTTCCACGTCCATGACTTTTACTTTAAACCGCGTACCCAACTATTCAAAACCCTCGGTGTTGCCGCGACTCCGGTCGAACCTCAGGTGACTCCCGGTCTCGGTGGCACCGAACTCCTCTGGCATGTGTAGTGTGGCCACCATGGGTCCCAACAGAAGGCCGTAGAAGGCGCCTGCCAGCCGCCAGCCTGGAGAGGACAAGTGGACCTATGGGGCCTATGGGGTAGGAGTGCACCGTCCACTCGGCCCCAACGAGTGCCCTGCCCTTCCCTCCAACTGCACAGGTTCTTCGCTGGCGACCCTGTGTGCTCTAGGTGGCCGAAAACACGTGACCGTACGTGACCGTACCATGTGACCGATGTTTGAGACATCCATGATCCAGATCCAATAAGACCATCTCGCAGACCTTGACCTTGGCAATAGTGGCCCATAGTGGCCCGCAACACTTACATTTAATGTAACAGTCTGTTGCAAAGAAGTCTACAGGAAAAGTAGGCCTGAACCCAGAAGAAAAGAAACCACACACATACGACACATAGCCATCCATAGCCTTTCCCTGTAGGTCTCTGATCTCCCACGCCTGAGATAGATAGACAAACAAACAAATAAATATACAGTAAGCTTTGGCATGGAGGACAGTTGCATCGAATTAGTCTATATAACGTTCACTGGGAGGACCATGAACGGCTGAATAAGGCAAAAACACAGACGCAGAAATCCCAAGAGGTTCAGAGTCATGATCTAGCCTAGACTATCCCAATCTTGACAAATTGAAAAGGCATGCTCTTGATAGGTGCCCCAAAAGAGGATCTCCCAAAAGGAAAATGGAAACACAGGAGAATGACCTTGAGCAACTTGAGAAAATCCCATCACAAACCTTCAAACACCACCATGCCCCAAATCACTCGCTCCTGCCCAGGCGGGGTCTCCTAGTAAAAGGCTGCAAAGCAAGGGCACCTAGTCGCTGGCAACGAGCTGAAGAGAAGACTCCCAGATTTCCCTGACATGAACCACTTATCACATGGCTTCAGGTGGACCCATTCGAGCTTACTCTGCTACTCCCCCCTACGGAGTGCAGCAACTCGGCAGAAATTTGAATGGTTTGGGGCGTCCAAAGGGAAAGTTGTCCATAGGCGAGGAGAACATTCCAATGCAAGGGCCCTGGTCTCAGCCAGGTCCCGCGGAATCAAATTGGCCCATGAATGCTCTTTTGAAATGACACAGTTGCACTTTGAAATGCCCAACACCACCAACCACATCTTCAGAAGGTAGCTAGACCCCCTGGCACCCAGCCCAACCACCTTCAAAACGGAGATAGTTGAAGCCCTTCTGTGATAATTAAATACAAAACGGCGCATCTCACCCAGTCCCATCTCGCTTCGGCGCCTTCACGAAGGCACCAGCCAAAGCTGCCCAGTGGTAGGACCAGAAGCTCTGTGGGACCAAAGCCTGGCTCTGAAGCGCCGGCTCTGACGTCAAGGTGCCATGATGGATGTCAGATGCAAAGCAAATCATTTTCAGATTGACAAAAAGGGTTCTCTCTCTCTCTCTCTCCGCCCCCAGCTCCATGAGATTAGCCGCTACGGCTACGCGGCGAATTGGACAAAGGGTAGTGTTATGCCGTTTTGTCATGTATCATCTTGATGGATAAGACCCACCCAATTGGATTGTGAAAACCTCTTATCTACCGTCTACAATAGGTCCTATAGGTGTTGAATGGGTTGGGCTCCAATCACAAGACCCCCCCCCGGACTCTTTCCATAGCACCCAACTTTCGGGCCTGTTGGACCCCTCGTCACGCGCTCCGGTTACGCGTAACGAGCCCACCGGTCAACCCCACATGGTACGGCATGATCCAGTCGACGTTCACCCGACGAAGGACCGATGAACGAAGGACCGTGCGCCCTTCGATTCAGGCGTAGGACTGCCAGGAACACTCATGTCTGTAGACTGTCCGATGGTCACGTGCTATGTGAGAAGACTCACCAAACTGATATATAGGAAGTCTATAGGACATTATAGGACCTAGGACCTGTAGTATATATTATTTTGCGATCTGCGCGAAGACCTACCGAACTACCACTTGCTTACTCACTTTCTTATTTGTGGGCCTCCATCCAGCTCCATCCTGCTCCCATGCCCACACACCCAATTCTCTCAAAGTAAACCTTTGTGTGTGTGTGTCTAGGTACAGGGGAAGGGCGTTCAATCGGTTTTTGGCTATACTCTTGAAATTTGACATTCATGATTCAAACCCAAGTGGCAGATTTCTTAGATTCCTGGGAAAGCAGCAGTTGTTGGCCATTCACAACTGCTAACTATAGGATAAGAAACACATGACACATGGTCTCCTTATGTCTCTTTTTCACATTATAGTTGATGTCCAAACAGAACACAGAATGATGTCCAAGCTGTGAGCAATAGATGCTACTCTTGCTCGACCATTCGGCTTTCTGTTGACCAATCCATTAACAAGTGCTTTTTTCGTGCAAATCCCCTCAAGGAGGTCCAACAAGGCAATGGACATCCCGGAATGGACCCTGGGACCTGTCCAAAACGATCCTTACCCTAACGATGGACCAACGGTGCTATACCACCATGTATATAAGGGATCCTTCGTTTCGGATCTCCGAAACAGGTTCTGCTGTTGAAGGAGGGTGTCGAAATTGGTTCTGGGACTCAGTCTTCACCAATGCGGCAGCCTGGTTGGGTTTCCACGCTCCTGATGATCTCCAGATTCCGAGTCGACTCCATACCTGGACCTCAGTCCTCCGCGTGTCCTCAGTCCTCAGTGCTTAGCAGCTGCTTTCCAAGGCGCCAGGGCACCGCTCATGGCCAAACCCAAAGCTGTGATGCTGCCAGCGCTAGTGGGCGACCGCTCCAGGAGCGGGAGCCTTTCAGGGAAGAATGAATGCACCCACTGGAGCAACCCACTGGACTGCCCTGGTTGGGGTGTAAGAAAAACATGGGTGGGAGTGTGAGGGGTTATTGGGTGCTGAATCCTACTAAATCTAAATACCACATGTGCGACAATTCTTTAAACACACGTTTAGAGCGTGATATTCAGCTGAAGCACATTTACTGCGAACACAGGCACGCGGCACGTTCCCTTCGCATTGCAAATACCATGGTTGATGGATGCTGGTTTGCCCACTTGTCACATTCCAAGTGTTGTTGACGCATCATCACTGAGGATAGATTGGGTCAAGGTCACAGCGCGCAGCGCAATACACCACAGGCACCCACAGGCCGTCGCACTTGACGTGACATCCGGAATGAATTGTCCATTGGTGCCCAGGCCCGTCTCAATGGCCAAATGGTCCGCTGGACATGAGCGTGTATACAATTCATCAATTAAATATAATATATATATATATGTAGTTGAGATAATGCGAGTGGCAAAGCAAGAGTAGTTGGGCCCGTGTCTCTAGCTATGCCTGCAAAAAACTGCATGTGTTTACCACAGCTACTCGGTAATCTGTAATAAGATAGCTTTAAAAACACTTGATTAATTATAGATTGAGTAGATTCAAGTATTTTCACACACTTGATCATGTAAAACATATCATCTGCAAGTGGGCTCGCATCAGCCAAAACGCTTACAGTACTGTTTATTTCCATGTTGGAGCACCCCCCCGGCCCCGAGTTACACGACCCCCTCCACGTCCACGCGACGGTACTCTCGCGACGGTACTCTCGCGACGGTGCGGTTCCAAGCAGCAGCAGGGCACTCACCCCGAGCCCCAGCACTGGCCGAGCAAAAAAGACCATCACCTGGATCGATGGGATGAAGGCTGCGGTTCTTCGAGCGCGGTGGGGTTCTTCGAAGACGAAGGATCGTTGGGGGCCGTGATTGGAACAGTGGAACCATTCAAAGGTGATTTGAGAGGACTAGCACAAGGCAAGGAACTATGTCTATCCTGAGCCAAAACATCTTACAGTAGGTGACAACTATTTAGACATGCAAATGTTCTATCTTTTGGCTATACCCAATTTGACATGTGTGCCATCTACTGCGACTTGAATTGCAAGTGGATGATTCCCAAACTGACCAAACAAAAATTGACAGGTCTTAGATGGTCTTAGGGATTCCAGGCATCAATGCATACATCTGAAGTCCGCAAAAAATCAAAAACTCCGCAAACCAATAAGAATATCACAGACTCCTCTGCACGTCGGGACTTCTGAAGTGGGAACAACTGCTTAATGATGTATTAAATCAATCGTTGGTCAGCATTCAAACTGCTTTCCAACCTTACTGCAATAGGTTGCTGGAGTTAGTTTCGGGATTCTGTTCCAAGCCCCACTGCAAGGGAAGATTCATTGGTAAGATGTGGTAACTTTGAAAAAATTCCCAGCCTTGGAACCAAGGCCATTCAAATGTTGCATCACGCCTTCAGCCTTCAACACGACTTTATATATGCTATATGTGCATATACTAATACATACCAATCCTATTTCAGTATATAATGCATATGGCATACGCAAACACATGAAACACCTTTTCTTACACATATCATGCACACTATATACTTCCTTTCCAAAAGCACAAAAAGCGTGTCCGAGGAAACCGCGGTGTCCACCGCGGTGTCCACCGCGTGACGGTCACGGACGTGTGTTCGGCCGTGGCACAGAGGCGCCCGGCGCCATGGGGAGCAGTGCATCCACGGAGCTCTGAAAGGCCAAGGCCATCGAGGCACTGAGCCTTGGGAGAATCGGTTCCGATTGGTTTATGCAGATAGTCGGGGCGTCGGAGAGTAGGGAAACATAAGAACTCTACAAACAAAAAACACATGAAACATTTACGAGACCATTTGGATCATATGGTTTCCGACCAGTCGCAGCAGCACTTGGGTAGATCAGACCCTGTGAAGACCTTTGCCGGGTTAGTGAAGGCCAAGTCGCACATGACCTGCACAGTTTCCTTACTACTTCTGAGGCAAAGCATGGAGCCCTAGCGGCCCTAGCCAGGCTCACTCTCAAACCTGATTGGAGCGCCGGAACCGGGCCTTATTGGGCGACTTCTGAGGAGTCCAAAGGCCACACCGGAGATCAACCGTTTGCAGCCCGGCTACGTGATCCAAAGCCCCGAGCGCGTGGTCGGCTTCATCTAGGCATTGCGTGGAAGGCTCAGGGGACTGACTTCTACTACGAGGGTGAGGATACTTTGCATACAACCCCGAACAAACCGCCATGAGAAAACAACATTGACATTAAACAACACAACACCACATCAAATCTACATCAAACAACACTTCTAGATCTTCTAGCATCTTCCAGCTGGTAAGGTGACAATGACGTCTTGCTGATGATGTAGTAGAGAATAGTAGAGACATATATTTTGTTTAAAGGACATCCAAGGCCAACACTCTGGATCGACCGTTTCCATGATTAGAAACAATCATCCATGATATATATGTATAATTCAACCCGAGGAGCGGCAGTGACGTGGAAAGCATCGCACATGTTGAAAAAGGTTGGGAAGGTTGCAGCGTTCCCCTCAGAAACACTTACAGGACATCCCAAGCTGCCTTTCTGGAAAATGCTCTCTTTCCTGCAAATATCCTGGCAGAAAATGCACTAGGCGTTGGGTTGTCCTGGAAGCATGTTCGACGAGAAAAGATTCAAAAGCTAGCGGTTGGAGTTATCCTCAGGCAACTAGATCTCATGAAATATCACCATACCCCAAGGCTCCATGCAAGCAAACTCGACCTACGGTGGCTTTAGCGGTGTATGTGTAGCCATATAAATAATTGGGAAGCGGAATCGGCCCTATGCTTCCCAACAGTTCTGGAATAAACACTTTTTGACCTCGCTGTTTCACTACCACGAGATGTGGAGCGATGGTGAGGGACCTTGTCTCGTCTCGGACCCAGAAAAGGCATTGGACCAGGCATCCAGGACATCCCTCCCACCAAGGTTCGTAGCATCAAACTTTAGCCAACATGCACCAGGCTTGTGGGTCTCTGAAAATGAGCAAGGAACCAACATGTCTCTACAGTGATTAGCATGCTATTCGGAGCATTCCGCATAAGGACAAGCATTCCGGACCTACCCCACAGGAATAGAACATCCCCTTTAACAAAGTTGTCACGATGTCTTGCCAGTGGCAGTTTAGTCGTTCTCCGTCTTTATTTGTCTTGTCTGTATCTCTCTCTCTCTCTCTCATTCTCCTCCAGATCGAACTGCCCCAGCTAGTCGTGTTTTTGAGGGGCACAGGGAGCAATCCCAAGTCAAGAAGCCGGAGCTGTTGAACCATCACCTGCGTGGCAACTAGGACAAGGGAAGAGTCCTTTTGAATGACACCCCGCGTTTCTCTGCGCGGAGTGAGCAATTTCTATCACAGCCTGATGGCTGGCTGGCAAATTGGCAGCAAAAGCAACTCCAGGTATAGCTTTGTCCATATAGTTGAAATTGAGATTTTGGGGCAACCTTCCCAGCACAAAGGAAACAGGAAGCCTTTGTACAGGCAGGGGACAGCTAGACGTTGCATGGTGACAGCCAAAGTTACAGGGGACTATTCACCGCTTTATATACTCAGCAGTCGACGGGGTGGCATCGGATGGAAGTGCAAATGTTTCACGAATCTTCAAGAGCTTGAGCGTGACATCGGTTTCGCCAATTATATAAGGTCCATTGGGCAAAACTCATGCAAAGGCGCTACTCTCCATGGCAAGAAAAACGTTCAGATGCCCGTCGGAGTTGCGCTTCTTGGGCCTGCAGCTTTGTGAGTATAAGTAAGTTGGAGGATGACCTGCATCAATGTAAATGCTTGCTGGACAAGGCTTTTAAAGATTACACCAGCAGGACCAAGAGCCAAAGAAGGCTTGTCAACAGGCACGACTGCTTTTTCCCAAAGGGTCTTCCACTCGACCGGTGACCAAAACACTCGTCCACAAGACCAAGCGGCTCATGCAAACGCAGATTCCCGGGCAAAAAAGAGTCACAGGAAAACCCATCTGCACACGACACGCTTGCTCTCGCATGGTCGCACGGTCGTCACCCGGCCGGGGGCAGCAGCTCCAAGCCAGTGCCCCCCAGCAGCCCGCGTGTACTGCAAACCAAGCACTTGAGCTTGCTTGAAAGAACTACAGGCCCCCCAGCAGCCTGTACTACAAACCAAGCACTGGAGCTTCAAATATGTAGGGCGGGGGTGGGCGGGCGCTTTCAAGAGCTGCCACACGCAACCTCCAAACTGCAAGAGGACACAACACTGACATGATAGAGCCGGCAGTATGCAAGGGCTAGCCCAAAGCATGCAAGCAAGCATATGAGTCGCCCATACCTTCAACTTCCCTCCGGGCCACGAATTCAAAAGTACCTCCCAATATGTTCATATGTTTCAGCATACCAACCTTGCTGGAATGGTTGGATCCAGCATGATTCAGCTGTTTTAAAGAGAGCAACGTACAACAAGCATGAAACAACCGCCTCCCAATCCAACATTCATCGCTCAAACGATTCCCTGAGACCAAGGCCTGACATGGAGTGTTCGGTCTGCGGGATGGGGTTCTTCCGCGCATGGCCCGCACGTGCCATGGCCGCCCCCGCCGCGTTCGCTGCACGGGGGAGGACGAACATTGAGCCCCGGAGCCCCAGAACGGCTGCGGGCTTCGAAAGCGGGCGGTTGGACCTTGAATTTGGGATCTCCAGGTTTGGGCAAATAGACACTGCTTTGAAGGCAGTGGTCGCACGCTTGTGTCGATTTCTCTAATATTATGGACCGAAATAGGCTCTCTGTACAATTGCTGTACACGTGTTTCCCGTGCAGACCCTCAAACAGTTTGTTGGAAGGATATCTACACGTCTCCTGCAGTTGCCTGAAATTCCTGTCAATTCACGTGAATGTTCACGTCAATTTCAACCATCCATATATGGAATCGTTACATAATACACATTTTCTCCATGTATGACACATTATGAAGCTAATGTGAGTAATTAGCATTCCAGTTCGATGGATGGTCTGGAAAATGAAAGCCACCCCCCCGATAAAGAAAAAAAAACACATTAAGTAGTACAACAGTAGAAGCACCGCGTGAAGCACGGTGGAGATGCCCTCTTCCAGGTCGCGCGGTCGACCGGCCTTCCTCTTCTGCCTCCGAGGTGGTCGAGCGGGACAGGTCAGACGAGTAGTGGCTCGAACAAGGCTGGCCTACTTGAGGTCATATCACTTGGCCCAAAGAGCCACTCAGTCATTCTCAGTGAGGAGAATATCTCCCCCAAAGAAGGGCACTTCACAGGGTTCATATTAGCTCCCTTGAGGGAGAAGCACTATCTGGCAGCTCAAGGACCATGTTTCCGCGTGCAGTTGGTCTATCAGTATAGGGTTTGATTGGCCTTTGGTTCCAGCCTTGGCTGGTTCGATTCCCATGTCCTCATGTCCTCTCCGAAAGTGAATGTATTGGAGGATATGGAGTTCATGGGTGCCCATTGTCCACTTAGGGACTGTCCCCAACCACCCAAAGTTCTCCATGCAACTCATTCCTTTACATGATTACTTTATACATGCACCACCTGAATCTCTGAAGGCAAATGAACCCCGTCAACCCTTTTATTTACACGTCCCAAGCACTCCATGTCTGTCATATATGCCTACATTGATCCCCCTGGCACCACCCCAATGTAGGCATATATGGCATACATGGAGTGTCTGGGTGTAAACAATGGATGGATCTTTTCGGCGGTTTCACGCCGCCAGCTCGCTGGTCGCGACATCCGCGCACGGAGCGGGGAATTCGGTGAGGGAGCGGTTGTGAGGGTTTTGATCGTGAGCGAAAATTATGAAAAGAATCAACTCAAGAGGTGGGTTGTGGTGGGTCCAAATCTTCTCCTTATGATATATATGTATGATATATGTCAATGTGTGTACATGTATACTCCGGGGAAAACAACATAGACCACAACTCAATTTCAAGTGCGCTTTAACATGGACCACTGGAAACGGTGACTTCCTGGGGAAACGGTATTAGTGCATTTTTTGGGGCAGTGAAAATGTTAGTTTTCACCGGTGTATATGTTATATTATGTTGTTGATTTATGATATTTGCATCATGTTACAGGCTGTTTGACCGTAACCGGCGTAACCATTGCGTTTGATGAACCGACACCCTGAATTTAGATGCATAAGTGGTCCGCCTATGTCAAGTTCAATGTTGGACAAATATGGACAACATCCTACGCTCTCAGTGCCTGTTGGAAGCACGTGCCAGTCTTTGTCACCTCCAAAGCACCCACTCACAAGAGCCCCCCCGTGGCCCTGCGCCTCTCTTCGGCTGGCCACTGGCCTCAGTGACCCGACCAGGCCGTTCATACAACACGACACCTCCCATCTGAGATGCCAAGCGCGCAGCGCGGCCAAGCGCAGCGCGGTCAAAACACATGTTCCCCAACTCGATTGTCGTTGATCTGCAGCGCCCAACAGGAGGTGGGTCAATTAGCAACTATAGCTGTATCCCTCAACTATTGAGGCCCCAGCAGCATGCAAGAAATGGTTCATCAAGTCTCTATTTCTTTGTGTCGGTTGGGTCCAACACTTCCACCGGTCACCACGCCACCGGTCGCCAGTTTGCCTCCGGCTTTCCAGTGAAACCTCCGGCTTTCTTCAGCACGAAAGAAACCTCCTACGCAGTCTCCTGTGTCCTACCAGGACGGCGCCACCTCTCAGTCTCTGAAAACCCCGATTTCCATGCGGTTCGAAAGCCGCAGAGTTGGTATCCGCGTTCGCAAGCGTGTCATGTTGACTGCATGATGAACAAAATACCTCCAATAGTATGAACATGTTGCATGTTTGATCATCTAGTAGGTATCAAGTGTATGATTTTATATACTCTGAGTTCACATGTTCGTTTGTACTTAAGCATGTACAACCCTCATGGCTCGGCTGTGAGATGATGACTTGGAGAGCCCACTCCGGTGGCCTCTCATCCCGCAGAACCACCGATTTGCCACGTTCAGGTCCGTCATCACGCCGAACGTGTCTGGACCAGCTGGGAATGTTATCTGGGCAAACTGCTCACCAAGGGCCATGAAGCCATAACCCTAGGCTTCCAAGTACCTTCTGAGAAGGTCCTTGGGGTGGGAGCCAGGAGGGTCCAAATACCTTCTGAGGAGGTACAACTGGAGGTGTAGGGTAAGCAAAATATATTCACCGCCAAATCCGTCACCCCAGCTCGATGTCTTTTCACGGCCTGGGCCATCCGAGACGCTGCCATCTTCGACGAGCCCTTCAGTGATCGCTTTGTACTTACGCGCCACCGGCAGGTTGGCATGCGAATGCTCCCCAACCCCTAGATAGGCAGCAACTTCGCAAGACTCATGTGTTAGTTCCATATATTCCTGCCAAACACACCCCAAGTTGACACTTGAAAACCTCCCCACTTCACAAATCCTTGGTCACCTTGTGTCCATCCGGCCTGAAGTCGACGGCCGACAGTCATTACTATATACGTAGCAAGAAGCTACTATACCCAGACACGACTAATGGGACTGTCATATCAATGCCTACATTGACCCCCTGGCACCACCCCAATGTAGGTATATATGCCATACATAGAGTGTCCGGGGTATAGTAGCTTCTTGCTACTACAGGGATTCTTCCCATTCTTCCGATTCTCCCCACGTTTCCGCCACGTTTCCGCCGAACAAACAAACGGAACACGCATTTCCGCCATCCATCGCTCCAAGGCACGAATCCTGGTCAAAGGAACACACAGAGGAATTCCCAAAGCTCTCTGACTGGCGACCGGCGGAGAGCTTCGCCGCCGGTGGAAGACGCAGCTGAGACGAATCGACCCGGTGACCCGTGAGAAGCAACAAAAACCACTCACGACTCGACAGTGATTAAAGCTTGGGACAAGGTCAATGGGCACCAAGGCGACGCAAAAACGCGATTTCTCAAAAAATAACAAACATGACATAATGGTTACACCAGCTCTTAAGGCATAATGTAGCCATCTGCTTCATCTGGTTGCACATCTGGTTCATCATGATTCACCAAACGAAAAGTGCACTCCGATTCTCCCAGTGGATTCTGCCTCGGACTCCAGGGAAATCGCCTCGTCTGTGGGACACTTCTCGGAGGCGATGCTGGGTGTCCTGCGAAGGGTGCAGATTGGGAAAGCATGTTAATTGACAGTCTTTGGAAGATCATGGGATATTCCTATCCCATGAATCCTTTAGAAAGGAACAGGGTTGTCCCACTGAGTTTTGGTGAATGGATGCGCATGGGTCTTTCTCACGCCCAAACACTCCCAACACGACAGGCTCGGAGGGATCCGAACCACCAGGCCCTGCGGCCTGCGCGTTTTGCCCTGCGCAGCCTATCCACTTCAGCCCTTTGCAGCTCGAGATGAAAACCTGATTGGTGAATGAGATGGGGTAGGTCTTTGAAGGCCAAATCCCCGCCAGCACCGGTTTCTGCAGGAGTTGACCTTCTGCAGAAAGGGAACTCTTGCAACCATGGCCCATAGGGCCAAGGTCCAAGGTCATTCTCCACTGCACCCGGACGATTCTGTGCGAATCACTGGTCAAACCGATGGAGGGCACGAATGATGGTTCCAAATGGAGTTGAGGATGTCTCTGGCAAACATTCTTGTGACAAATGCCAGAGATCTTCAATCCACTCGCGGATCAAGCCCAACATTTGGGCCATGGGTGGCCAATCCGACCCCCATCCTTGGCACGCCCGTGTCAGAAAACAACGCTTTTCTCGTGCTTTTGGGGGCTCCTACGGGGTTCCAGCGGGCAGGTCTGAAAATGCTTGCAAGCGAGTTTGGATACTGCTTACTTCCATTCAGTTTCCTCAGAACAGTCGGATGTGCTTCCAGCTTCTTGCACTGGCTTGTTCAGGGACACATGTTGTTTGTTTCTTGAGAAGAGGCTTCACCTATACCGAACACCATCAATCACCGATATTGCATCATATTGCATCGAATTATGCCCAAAACCAGGGTATTTGCATTGCTGCTCCCGAAAGATGTTCCATTTTTTCCCGTGTTTCTGAGGTGCAGAATCCCGGCCTCTGCCCATCCAAGCGGCTCACCGCCGAGCGGAAGAGCTCCGAGGTCACGAGCGCAGAACGGCCTCTGGTGAAGTTCAATGGCGCAGAACGCGCCCCCGGGACATGAGGTCTACTCCCGAGTCCTTTGATCGTTCGTGTGGCTCAGAATTCCTGCCAGGGGCCATGATTCTTACAATGATTTGTGCAAAACGTCTCAGAAAAAAGGATATAATATATTTATATATTATATAATATGATATCATCAGGTGGTTCTCCGTTGATCATTTGTCCCAAACGCACCCCAAACTGCCACTCACAACACACGCCGGCAATCCCTGCACCTAGTTCTGCCGGCACTTGCTCGCTGGCGCCGCGAAGGCCGGCCTGGAAGTGTTGAACGACGCTGAGGACATGCCCACCCAATCCACCCTGTGAGATTTCGACCTTTTACCCATCTGGTGTGCCCATTTTCTAGAGAAACAGGAAAACTCCAGTTGCTCAAGAACGCAAAATAAATGTGGATGAATGTTGATAGGTATGACAGGACTGGGCAGTGCACGTGACTTGCAGTATACTCTCTTTAAAAAGATCACGCAATTGTTAACGCGGTTCTCGACTGGACCTGCGGCTTCCACTCGCTCAGCTTCAGATTTTCGGGATTCGGTTCTCCACTCACTGGCTGGACCGACCAAGGTTCAAACAACTCCTCAAACATGAGTATTCAGCATAGATGTCCCTGAAAAGCGGGAAGCTTGCGGAGAACACAATGCCCAGGATGGACCCAAATGCCTCCCAAAATGTCCCCAATCACTGGCCTCTTGGGGAGGTCCGCGAACACGGACCTTGGACCCCATTCCACACCCCGCCTCCTCAACGGGCTCCACCTCGTGGTACCTGTGGGCGTCGATGGGTCAAGGTGATTGGCTTGGATGTTGCTTCTTTGGAAACCCGG